GAAATTCAGACAACTTACAAAATATCACAAAAGATAAATACAATTAAGATTTGAAGGAAGTTGGGTAACAGAAAACAAACGTAGGGAAAATTAATATATAAAATGCATACCACGCCACTCTGTCCTACTCCTAGAGAGGGTTAGCATATCGGTCCTTTAGCATCCTCCAAAGCAAACAGAACTCACTACCATTCAGTCAATGACAACCCTATAGGACAGGGTAGAACTGACCCTGTGGGATTCCAACACTGTAAACCCTCTACCAGAGTAGAAAGCCTCATCATTCTCCCTTCGGGAGGCTGGTGGTTTTGAGCTGTTAACCTTGTGGATCACGGCCTAACATGTAACCACTATGCCATTAGGGCTTCCTAATCATCCTAGAAGCTTAGAATTTGGGGAAGATAAGATGAACAGGCACTAACATGCTGATTCTGAAACCAAAGGGTAACCTTTCCTCTGGAGCCTCACGTAAATTAGTCCTAGGTTAAAACCCTCCCCATAAAACATGTTAGATCACTCTAACAATTCTTTTCAAAATATCTCCATTTTAAAGTCAGACACACAATTCCAAAGGGCATTAAAACAACGGTAAGAAGAACCGTGACCGTGTATATGGAAAACGCCTATTATAATCGACGTATGGAATGTTATAAGAGCTGTAAGAGCCCCCAGTAAAACGATTTATAAATATATGTGCATATTATAAAAACTATGTATAGATTTTTAATTGTTTTTGTAGTAAAATAAACTTGTACTACCTTGTTACAACAAGTCTGAATAGGGTCTGGTTTGAGGCACGGGAGGGTCAAGCATACATCAGAGAAGAGCCCTATCAAAACAACAGGAATTCTGCGCAAGTGGAAGCAAGAACAAACACCACGTTTTATTGGTCAAGTTCGGTCTCTCTTTTTTTTTAGTAATTTTCTTGAAATAATATTCACATAACATACACTTTCATAGTCAAATCGCATTTCAAAAGTTATATATGCATCATCACAGTCAATTCTAATGCTTCCTCCCCAATCCTGCATTCATTGATCATTCCCCAATTTCCTTCACCTGCTCACCTGCCCTCCCCCTTGCCCTTTCCAGATAAACCATTGCATCAGCTATTGTCTATACATTCACTCATGTGCTTCTTATATCTTGATTTTTCTTTATGTCGAGTTGTAATACACGCTGAAGATGGCAACCCTTGATCTTCATCAGCAAGTGCTTCAAGTCCTCTTTACTTTCAACAAACAAGGTTGTGTTGTCTGCATATTTCAAGTTGTTAATAAGCCTTCCCCCAATCCTGATGCCACATTGTTCTTCATATAATCCAACTCCTTTGATTATTTGTTCAGCATACAGATTGAATAGATATGGTGAGAAGATACAGCCCTGACACACACCTTTCCTGATCTTAAAACATGCAGTACTCTCTGGCTCTGTTCACATCAGCACCTCTTGATCCTGGTACAAGTTCTGCGTGAGCATAATGAAGTCTTTTCTCAAGGCTATCCCTAACTTGTACAGTCCACACAATCAAATGCCGTGGCATAGGCAATGAAGCACAAGTCAACATCTGTCTGGCATGTTCTGCTTTCAGCCAAGATCTGTATGATATTCTTTGTTCCGTGTCCTCTAATGAATCCAGTCTGAACCTCTGGCAGATCCCTGCCAATGCAGTGCTGCAATTTTTGTTAACGATTGTCAGCAAAATTTTACTTGCGTGTGATATCAATGATATTCTATAGTTTGAGTATTCTGTTGTATTACGTTTCTTTGAAATGGATACAAATATGGATCTCTTCCAGTCAGTTGGCTAAGGAACAGTCTTCCAAATTTCTTAGTATAGATGACTGAGTATTTCCAGTGCTTCATCAGCTTGCTGAGACATTTAAATTGAGATCCCATCAATCCTGGTGTCTTATTTTTGGCTAATGCTTTCAGTGCAACTTAAACCCCTTCCTTCAGTACCATTGGTTCTTGCTCATGTGCTATCCCTAGAAATGGTGGACTGCCGACTAGTTCTTTTTGGTTCAGTGATTG